GTGTATCATCTCTGCTCTGTTCTCTTTGGGGGAAGCCTCTGACTTAGTAATAAGCAGCACTATCATTTTGCCAGGTACATTACAGCCCCCATTTAGAAATAGGACAGTTGAGATTTAGAGAGATTAAAAGGTCACCAAACTATCACCTTGTAGTTCGGTAATGAATTCTAGCCTACCTGACTTAGAGTCCTCACTATTCTTTATACTAGGAATTCGAAACATGTGGTCCTTGGACCCCCAGGGAGGCCACAGGGGCTTTTCAGAACTATTTTCATGATAATATACAGTTTCTATTTGCCTTGTTCACTTTATTGATATTTGCACGAGTGGCACAAAACAGTGATGACTAAAACTCCTGGCATCATAGTGTAGGTACAGTAGGCATTGTATTTGCTGCCATGCATTTATGGTTAAAAAAAAAAGCAAGCTACCAGTTTCTCTTAAGAATATCCTTGAGGAAGCAAAATAGAAATTGCGTTAAGTCTCTACCCTTGAACAGATGTCTTTTAAACACGCCTATCGGTGTGACAGAATGGAAGACGCAGAAAGCACGATTGCAGCCTGTAGCGTTCGACGACGGTCTCAGAGAAAGGCACACATACGACCAAGCTGTGAGCTAAACAAGCCACTTTTCTCATGGTGTACCCTGGCTAACCTGCAACTTTCTGCCTTGGTTACTTGACATGTTTTCTCAAAAGTGACTGAAGTCAGCCTACCATGTCAAGGAAGACAATTGGCAGTTGATAAAAATTAGAGCTTTCAAACAAACTTGAGAACTTTGGAAGACATAACTGCCACTGTGAGCTTAACAAGTGGGACACCTTTGCACTGGATAATGAGTTATGTCAACACTTGGAAGGGCTGCACAACTCAGGGAACACTAGTACAAAATCATGCGTGGGTAGGAGATCCCCTCACAGGGAGAAGATGGGCCAGTGGATTTGACGTGACAGAGTTGCAAAGAGTTCACTAGCATGGTTTCAGATTCCACATTGGCACACTAACCTTTACAAAACTGAATTGTTGAGTTTTGATATAATATCAAAAGAATATCTACAATTACCTAAACTTAACCTTCTAAAGGACCATTAACTTTTCCCTCACAGGGAAGGCTATTTATACAGTACTTCTCTTTTTCCCTAGGATACTCCAGAAGGAAAGGAGGAATTGGGGGAGGGAGAAAAAAGAAATTAATGGGGAGGATTGAAGAGAGATGTATTGTTTGATGATCACCAGGTGTGTGCCCAGTCCTTTATGTAAATGCGATGTCATATCATCCACACAAAAATTCCTAAAATGGCGCTAATAAGGAAACAGAGTCAGGCTGTCAGCTAGCCACTGCTGCACCATTGTCAGAACCCTGGAGTAAGGGTTTGAAACAATAGGTCTGTGTATGTAGTTGACTCTCTTCCTAGTAGTACTACGACACAAGGGGCAGCTAAAAAAATATTCTGCCACTCCTACATGGATCAGAGTTTAAAGGTTCATTACCATTTCAGTAACGTACATCATGCGTGACCTGACTTCCCTATAAGATACGACCTCTGTACCTCACAGTGCCTGGAACTCAGGCTCCAGGAAGCATGTGCTGAGCTAAAGGGTATAATTTGCCTGCACCTTTTACATGGTTCCCACGATGTGTGATTAATTAATCCATTGACTGTCCATCAGTGACCCTCCTTCCATCAGTTGCTCTTCATCAAGAGAATCAAATAGAAAAAGCCAACTTTATACGTGTTTTTTTTTCTCTTGTAAACTCAGTAGCCTCAGGAATAACTCGGCGCCCATTCTGAATGGGCAACAGCATTCAGGCGTTCACTGGAAACAGTCATTTTGTTCCCATGACTCCTCACTAAAAAGAAAGCACCCTGAGTGTAAGTCAGTCACCAACAGAACCTCAGCAGCTGCAGAATGTAATAGCCACTCTTATTGCAGTGTGCTGCATTTGCTGTCTTCCTGCCATGCGTCATTAAAAAATGGTGATTCCATATGGTTTTCCTTTGAGTTCTAACCATTTTCTTCTAGCCCAGCTCCTTTAGCAGTATCATAGGGTTGCATTTGCCGTTGAACCCCATTCTGCATTGATCCATTACTCCCAATGGTGTTCATTATAAGGCCATGATAGTCCTCATATTTGTGTGACAAAAACTGATTTTTCCCGGTCACCAATGTCTGTGGTATACTCGGCAGTCTTCCCCGTGCTCAGTTCTTATCTGATGTAGCCCAGAGTGACTGTGTGAAGGGGTGCTGGGTCCTTAGTTGTACTTCTATCAATCCATTTGTTCATTTAGTTTTAACTTTCTCTTCTGTCATCTGTTCAGTGGACTGATGCTCTTAATTTATAAGTGAGAATTTGGGAGTACTATTGTAGGTTTTAGAGTTAATACTATTTTCCACTTATATAATACTTATGTAATGCTTTTCATGAAATCTCCAGTTTTCTTGAAAGAGAAAGAGCTCTTTCTTGAAAGAGCTTACTCATGAGGAAACCAAGGAGTAGATACCAACCAAGGTCACACAGCTTTTCAGTGCAAGAGCTGGGACCTGAAGCATGTCAGTTTACAGGCTCTCTAATCAACCCCCAACTAGTGCATGACCTCGCCTAGAGCCTGTGGCGTCCTTTCCACTGGGTTGTCGAGAGGAAGGAGGAGATTCTATTCCTGAAAGCAGTTTAATACTATAAAGTACTACAAATGCTATTTAATTTTAAATACATACATACATATGAGAATTAGCACTACAAATCTTTAAATATTGCACTTATTTTCCATAAACTAAATATACGAACAACTGGCTGGTCCCTAAAAATAGATGTCAGATGACAGAGATCGGCTGAGCAGGAATAGGAGCATCTTCCCAACAGAAGCCAAGGAAGTTTTGCTTCCCTCACACATTGCTCCATTCACTCACTTCAAAGCCTTCCTGCTTCTCTGTAAAACCTGGGCCCAGCACAGCTCCTCTACATTGGTCACAGGCTCCATTCATCAGGAGTGGCTCACCTATAGCACAATTAGCTCCAGTTATTCTTTCATTGTAGGCTTTCAATATGTTCTCAGTCCCCTTTCCCAGATCTAGTAGGGAGTCACTGCCTTGTGATACGAAAGCATCCAGAAATTCTTCCTGAGAGTCTTCAGAGAGCAGCGTGAACCCCTGGGGCCTATTCCCAGAACTGGGATGGTGGGGATGCTGTCCTGTTAGCTAAGCCTCCTGGGCGGACGAGGGTTGGCTAGGCGTGGTAAACTTCATGTGAGGGCGGAATGTGAGGGGAGCTTTGGGGTTTAGTAACCTGGTTACTTTGAGTGACATTTATAAAACAAATTGTCATTCTATAATTACCTTTTAACTTTTATTCCTGAAACATAACAAAGATGTTACTTCACAAATGTAATTTCCAACCATGTTGATAGCCAAAACAAGTTTAGTTTACTCTGTGAATTTGAGTATATTTGTAATTGAGATTTAATACACTGAGTTGTAATTTAGTGAGCTCCATAGACATCCATAGTTTCTGCGACTTTAAGTGAAAGGATGAATCACAGAACAGCACTGAATAGCTACGTTATTTGAGGGCCTGCTGTACTGTTATTGGCCACAGCTGTAAAGGACGACAAAGGGACAGCTAACACCCAATTGAAGGGTCCTCCTCAAGTGCCACCATCTCTTTTAGCGAATAGGCAGAGTGTGAAAATTTTAGAAGTAATGGTGTTGCTTATGAACTTTCCTACATAGGTGTTAAATAACATCCTTTTTAATATGTATATTTCCAAAATCAGTAGATTGATACATTCACATTTTTGAAGAACACATAACCAGAGAAGGAATGTGTAGTCTCCAGAAACTCTTTTTAGAGACACTTTCTAGTTACGGAAAGGTACAAGGTCAGAGACTCTTTTGAGTTACACAGCAGTTTTGGTGCTAAAGTTAGCCTGTAAGATAAAGATTCCTCAGGAGAATACCGCATCGGAAACCATTGTATGGTCTATCATGAAGTGTTTCACTGTTAAGGAACACTATTTTGTTGGTGTATAAATAAATATATAAGCAAATGTGACAAAATGTTAAGAATGGTAAGTAAAGAGTATATATGCGTTGAACAAATCAGCTTTTCTGAGTGTTTAAAAATTGTCAAAACAAAAATTAGGAAAAGAATGTTTATGTTTAAACACTAGACCTGTACTCATGTGGTGAAAAGTCTGTAAAATGAGAAGCAAGACCTAGTAGAAGAAGCAGATTCCCATTTTCCATCTTTTCCCCAGGGCACAGCTCCGCCGAGTGGGGTGGACAGGATGGTCCTTGCTATCGAAAGCCTAGTGCTTATCCAGTCACACAGCAAGGCAGACGGGAAAGTCACACAGAGAAACCTTTCTGCCTCAGTCTCTTCCACATCATGAGAAACTGTGGTTTTGGCTAGGGTGACACTGGGGATGAGAGGTGTCAGACCAGACTCCCACTGTAAACAGCTTCAGCTCAAGCGGGGGGCATGAGGAGAATTGTGGTAAGATATGATTCAATTTATCAACATGCCCCCCAATATATTAAAATTAGGGGGAAAAGTTTTCCTAAGCAATTAAAGGGGTAGGAGGAATCTTTTGGGGGTGATCTCTCTCTTGATCGTGGTGTTAGTTATATATCTATTTAGCAAAACTCATCAATAGTGAGTGTTATTATATGTAAAAGTTAATAATCACCTTCATAAGGTGAAATGGATTAAGGTAATTAAAAATATAAACAAACCCTCAACAACAAAACATTGTAATTTCTAGTGAAGCACAATCTTTTTAGGGGATACTTAAAAAGGAAATGACCTCACCCTTAATTTTCCATAAAACAATTATTTGGATATATTTACCTAGGTAGGATGTATGAATGCTTCCTACTACTTGAAGCCAGAGTTTAGTGGAGTGAGAACCTAAGGGAACTGTATTTTGATGGTTTTTTGGTTTTTTTTTTTTTGACAGTTGTGACAGCTAAATGACATCCCTGCTCTCTTCCTTTTTCAGCCCTGGGATGAGACCAGATGTGAGCTCTCCTCCGTCCGCCTCCTCAGCAGCAGCGGGACCACCTCCCAAACTGTGCCTAGTGTGCTCTGATGAAGCCTCCGGGTGTCATTATGGGGTCTTGACTTGTGGAAGCTGTAAAGTCTTCTTCAAAAGAGCAGTGGAAGGTAGTGTGTGTTTTGAAGAGTTTTATTTTTTCCCTTTTTTTGGTTCTTATTTCTCAGAGTGGATTTTGAAATTTCTGTTATAGACAAAGCTCATTAAGCCTAGAAATCAGTACGAGGGGCAGGGTGGAGGGTGGCTCCTAGATCTGTAGGAGGAAAGAGAAATTTTAAAAAGCAACTAAAAACATAAGTAGAATAAAATAGAAAATAAACTGAAGGGAGGGAGCTTGGCCAGAGACCAGAAGGTAACTGTAAGAAAGTGGTATCATGTGAAATGGTGGTGTGTTGGGTTTAAACAGTAACATAACCCTCACTGTATTAGAATCACAGGCTTTGATTCCCATAAATTAATTGGTTAAAGTCACCGACTATTTCAGTCTGGCAAAAATGAGTGACAGAACTGCGGGGGACAAAGGGGTGTTTTGCTTTTGGACCAGGGCATGGCGCTGAGTGGCATAAATACAACACGATAGTTGACCCCTGCCTTCTGGAAGGTCCCAGTCTGCGTGACGTGCAGGCTGAGTTGACAAGGCACAACGACTGCCATGCAGAGGGGCAGATGATGAACTGCCCAGAAATCATGAAAGAAGGCATTTTGGAGGAAGTGGTTTCGCTCTACAAATGTGATAATAACACAGGCTTCACCCTTGACGTAGTCTCAGCTTGTAGACAGAAGCATCAACTCTTTAAAGGAGAAATTGCTTTCATAGCAAATTATTACCAGAAGTCACTGGTATTTTTCTAACAGCACCAGTGAATTCTCTTGGAAAAATTATATATTTCGGTCATCTGGAAAGCAATTTGAGGGCCATGTGGCCTCAGTAAATTACCTAAACATTACTCTGATTATATTAATTTTTAAAGAAATAATTATTCATTCATAGTATGAGAAGGATTATTATTTTTTGGCTAGAGTTCTGTTTGCATATCCTTAAAAATTAGGTGAGTCATTTTCTTTTGTTTGAATTACTTGAAAATTTTTTTATTGTATTTTTTCCATTACAATTTTAACCCCCTTACATTCTCCCTCCCCCACAATCCACACACTGTTGTCCGTGTTTATGAGTCCTTTTTCCTTTTTGCTGGATCCCTCCACCTTAGAGCTGTCAGCCTGCTCTCTGAGTCTCTTTTGCTTGTTTGTTCAGTTTGTTCATTGGATTCCACATATAAATAAGATCATATGGTGTGTGTCTTTCTCTGACTGGCTTATTTCACTTAGCATGTTCTCCAGGCCCATCCATGCTGTTGCAAAGCATAAAATTTCCTTCATTTTTTAAAATCCAAGTAGAATTCCATTGTGTAAATGTCCCATAGTTGTTTTACCCACTCATCTACTGATGGGCAGGTAGGCTGCTTCCCTGTCTTGGCAATTGTAAATAGCACTGCAGTGAACATAGGGGTGCTTATGCTCTTTCAAATTAGTGTTTTGGATTTCTCCAGATTTCTTGTATTCACAGAAGTGGGATCCCTGGATCACAAGGCAGATTCACTTTTAATGTTTTGAGGTCTCGCCACACTGCTTCCCCCAGTGGCTGCACTAACCTGCATCCCCACCAACAGTGCAGAAGGGCTCCCCTTTCTCCACTTCCTCACCAGCACTTGTTGTTTGATGTATTGGTGACAGCCATTCTGACAGGCGTGAGATGATATCTCATGTGTGTGGTCTTAATTCGCATTTCTTTCATGATTAGTGGCATTGAGTGTCCTTTCATATGTCTGTTGGCCATCTGTATGTCCTCTTTGGAAAAGTGTCAGTTCAGGTCCTCTTCCCATTTTTTAATTGGATCGTTTGGGTTTTTTGGTATTGAGTTTTATAAGTTCTTTATAAATTTTGCATATTAACCTCTTATCAGATATATTGGCAAATATGTTCTCCCATTCCATGGGTTGCCTTTTTGTTTTGTTCGTGGTTTCCTTTGCTGTGCAAAACCTTTTTAGATTGATGTAGTCCCATTTATTTTTTTTCTTTTGTTTCCCTTGCCTGGGGGGAGATATTTGATGAACTATTGGTACTAGCAATGTCCAAGATTTTACCACCTATGTTTTCTTGTAGGATTTTTATGATTTGGGATCTAATGTTTAAATCTTTAATCCACTTATAAATTTTTCTTGTATGTGGTGTAAGAAGGTGGTCTAGTTTCATTTTCCTGCATGTATCTGTCCAATTCTCCCAATACCATTTACTGAATAAACTATCAGTAGCCCATTGTATGCTTGCTTGCTTCCTGTATCAAATATTAATTGACTGTAAAGATGTAGGTTTATGTCTGGCTCTCTATTCTGTTTCATTGATCTGTGTGTCTGTTTTTATACCAATACCAGGCTGTTTTGATTACTTGGCCTTGTAGTGTAGTTTGATGTCAGTAGTGTGATTCCTCCAGCCTTGTTGCTCCTCCGCAGGATTGCTGTTGGATTACTTTCTTTGATACATTAGCAAAGTATAAAATCACTCATTCCCCAACCTAGAGCACGGGGATGTGAGTTTTGGCCAGTTTAGTAGCCCCCGACTATTGAGTAAAGTCTTCAGTAAAGCCTACTCCTGCTTAGTGAAATGCCTCTAACAAGGTAGTAATAGGTATTATGTAGAGCAGACCCAAGGGAAGGAAGCCTCCTCTTGTCCTCACTTTACTTTATTCAGCACTTTCTTAACTGATCAGTTATTTCCATGATGTAAGTGCAGTGGTAAGAGTAACACGGTATTGCTACACATCACAAATGACACTGACATTGATTTCTAAAAGTGAAATTCAGAATGAGACAGTGAGTCTTCAAAGAAATATGGTATCTTGTTTTTCACTCTCCTCCATTTTAACTAAGCATTCTTTAAAACAGGGCTACAGATTGAAATGCCTGCAGGGACCAAGTATGTCATTCTGGCCACGTGCAGTATGACTGGGGGAAGGAGGGCAGTTAGTGCTGGGTGGATGCAAGTGTCCTGGTGCAGTGCGGCAGGAGGGACACAGCTAAATGTGCTTCGCAGATAAAAAAACACCACTGCAAACTACATGCCCTCTGGTCTTAATCCCTGCTTCAGAATTAAATTCTGGTATTTGTTTTTAGGTAAAATTTAATTGAATATTAGCCCCACTGTTTCACAATATTTATCATTTAAATATCTCAGTGAAGTGTGATGGCTAGATTACATAATTAATAAAAGTTTAAGTGTGGACCATGTTAAACACCCTTTAATGCTTAAACATTCTTAAGATCCCTTTCAGGTCTAAAATTCTGTTCTCCTTTGATAACCTATTTAGACATGATGAAAATATTTTGAAGCCCAGATATATATTTTAGAGCACTTCTTAAAAATTATAAAATGTAACTTGTATGATTTATATTACATTTAGCACTCCATTTATAACATCTTCTATAAATAAGTTATCCCCCAAATTGTCATATTATAATAAATACCCAAATACTTAACTATTTTTAGGAAATTTGCATAAGTTTTACCTGTTTAATGACCATGCAGCCCACATCAAGGATATTTTGAATTTTTTATTCAGTATTCCGATAGTCTCTCTCCTGCACACAGAAAACAACGTCGGGTAGCTCCAGTACTGTTGGTGTTAGGCGTTCAGTGGTCTTTCCTCCCCTGAGCCCCTTTTTCTTATGCTCCCTTTGCACAGCGGTACATTTGATCTTTGTTGGTGGGTCATAATGGAGATGGGCATGAGCTGCCCTTCACTTACCACACACCAGTACTGTGCTTTATGTGTCCTACCACTGACTTACAGCGGAGAACTCACAGATGCTCCCGTGCTCTGGGTCTGAGGGACTGAGCCCCTGAGGCTCAGGGAGTTTAGCTGGCAGAACGAGGATTGAAACACAGCTGTCTCCAGACAGGCTCTTCACCTCCGTGTGCCCCAACAGCCTGAGAGGTGTGTGATAAAAACCTGTCACCTGGCAGTTTGTGATCTAGTTAGGTCCTGGGATGAAAGCTAGAGCATGGGCATTGTTCGATAGTGGCCCTTTATTCAGTGCTTACAATGTGTTAGACACTGCAGGAGAGCCTTCTCCACAACTGCCTTTAACTTTTACAGAAGCCCAGCCGGCCAGGCGCTAATTTTCTGGAGTTACAGACGGGGGGGCAGGGGCTCAGAAGAGTTAACAAACATCACTGAAATCCCACAGGTAGGAAATAGAACCGAGATTCAGATCAAGGGCTTCCTGGCACCTACCAGTGCCGTTTCCAGGGTACCTCACTGCTTCTGAGAGCAGGTAGAGAAAGAAGCTCAAGCTGGCCTCACAGTGCACCCTGAAAACCTGGGTACTTCAAGTGGGGTATAAAGTTGCAGAAAGCCCTAGAGCAGGCCCTTTGCCGCGTTACCCATTTCCTGTACAACTTTGATGATCTTGTTCATGTCTACGTGTCACTGTCCTACCTATTAATTATAATTTTTAAATCCTCACCCGAGGATATGTTTATTGATTTTAGAGAAGGGGAAGGGGCAGGAGAGAGACACACAGACATGAGAGAAACAGCAGTCGGTTCCCTCCCACAGGCACCCCAGCCGGGGCTCAAACCCATGACCTTGGCACGGGACGGTGCTCCAGCCAACTGAGCCACCCAGCCAGACCATTGTCCTGTTTATTAACTAAGATTTTTCTTGGATCACTTTTTAATTAAAAACAACTTTACTATCCCTACTGTATTACCTATTGCTATATAACAAATTATCCCCACAATGAGGAGATTAAAATGAGGCATTTATTGTGTCACAGTTTCTGAGAGTCAGTAATTTGGGAGCAGCTTCTTAGCTGGGTAGTCCTGGGACACTTGTGAGGTGACGTTCAGACCACTGGTGGGGCACAATGACCTGAAGGGTTGCTTCTGGCAGGAAGCGTCAGCTCCTCACTGGGGAAGCCTACTCCAGGGCCGCTGTCAGCATAACAGCTAGCGTCCCCCCGACGAGTGATCCGCCAGAGAAAGTGTGACCAACATGGAGACAGTGTCTTCATAACTGAGTCTCAGATGTGACATACTGTCACTTCTGCCGTATTTTACTGGTCACACAGACAGTCCTGATAGAATATGGGAAGGGACTACGGAGACCACAGGGGCCACCTTGGAGGTCGGCTGCCACACCTATCACAAATAGAAACTAGAATCACTTGCCAAAAATAGATTTTAACCACAAAAATAAATACGACGAAGACAAAACAATGTCAAGAAATTCCCATTGGCTTGGAGGTCTTTCTCCTTCATGTCTACTCCATTAGTTAGAAAGGGAATTTACCAAGTGGTATAAGACAAAGGGAGACTCCAAACCTAGATGTCCCATTGTTGTATCAGAGGATTAACAAGGAGTGACTATTAGTGGTTCCTGGCCATGCCTTGTAAAAAAAAGTGACCGCTCCTTATTCTGTAAGACACAGATTTGCCCAACTTCATACTAATAACCAGATAGGTAGGACTAATTTTGACCTAAAGATATAACCACGCTCCCCCCTGATCCTGTAGCTCAGATTCTTAGATGTGCCTAAGACATAGTTGTACCTAGGATAAAGAAGTCATTCTCAGCATAATGTACACATGCCGGTGTTTCATTTGCATATGAATAAGGCATTAGAATGTTTTGATTTTGACAGTGAGTAATTTTTTCAATTGTCTTTCAAAGTAACCGCAGGATGGTGATTTGGTGATACTTTTGTGGAGTAGAAATTTTTTATATTATAACTGTGTTGTTCCCACTTTTGCTTTAATAGAGGATAGACCTACTGGATTAATGCTTGCACTTTACGTTCAAGTAAAGCAGCTACAAACATACACATTGTAGAAAGGAATCAAAGCAGCTGGCACAGACATTTGGTGTCAGAGGCCAGTTCTGTGTCAACTCTGTGGCTTATTAGTCGCAAAGAATCGAACCTGATACAGTTAACCATCTACTCAGAACTAATGCTTAAAGATCACTGTGACTTATATTAAGAAAAAGTAAATATAGTTTATTTTCACCCAAGGCAAGTATTAGGTTGTCCTATGCATAAAGGATCTTTTCCTAAAACTCAGAAGCATGTTCAACCTAGTGAAATGATTTTTATATTTTCTTTGAACATGATTTATTTTTGAGGAGAGAAGTGGTTTTCAGTCTTTTCAAGACCATCCCCTCTAGTGGAAGGTACATGGACTCTTGGTTATCTAGGGTATTTTTTGTATAGGAAGGTCCTTTGTTTTTGCCTGGCCAGCAGATCCTCAGATAGCTTTCTTCAACATTTAGTAACCAGATTGAAAGAAAATAACAAGATTGTGCTTATGTGGTGGCGAGGCATGGAGATTTTGAGTCTTTTCCTTTTAAATTTTCCATGAAAATTTTTGCCAGGGGAAAACTACACTTCTACCTCTAACACATCTTCTGGCACCCAATTATTTAGTAACGGTACACAAGACTTTAGACAGTAGTGGTCTTTCAATATCTGGGGTCCATGATGAAGTCGAACATTCTTATATTCTAAAAGCATATGACATAATTAACAAATCTCTTTAAGATCTATATACAGTAGATTAGTTTGCCACATCTGTGATTCACCCAACTAGTTGATGGGAACCTTAACTTTCAAGATGAAGTGTTTACCTGTTGCTTCATTTAAAATTGGGACAAGGAACACTTTATTTGCATGTGGTGGCATGAAGCTAAATGAAAGTCGTTTTCCCTTTGGGAAAACTCTCAGAGTAGTTTAAAGCCTGTGTCCTTTGTCTTTAGTCCTTAGCATTAGGTCAGAAGTCATCATAAAATAGAGATTACAGACGTCTTCTGTAACCATTAAAGGAAGAAACTGTGGAAAGCATGTCCATCAAGAAAGAGGTGCCCCTTGACAGGGAATGGATAGAGAGGGGTGAGAGAGCCTTTGTGGGGTAGTGCCAGCTTCTCGATCGGAGCGCTGGTTACATGTTTGGTTTGTGAAAATGTTTTAGGCGGTACATTTATGATTTTGTGCACTTTTCTATTTGTATGCTCTGTAAAGTTTGTTAATGACCTATGTTGAATTTGTTGACCAGAATAAGAAAGATTTTTTCAGCTGACCTTTCAACTGTGTCATGGCAGCGTGAGCAAGCACGCCATCCCTCCCGCCATCAGTGCCTCTGCTGCTTGGCTGTGTTCCACCCAAAATAGAACAGCCTCTCCAGAAAAACACCCTTTCGCCCCTGTGATGTTTTAACGGTGCCTTTATTTTCCATACAGGACAGCATAATTATCTTTGTGCTGGAAGAAATGACTGCATCATTGACAAAATTCGAAGAAAGAACTGCCCAGCATGCCGCTATCGGAAATGTCTCCAAGCTGGAATGAACCTGGAAGGTAATGTAAAGACCTGAAAGGAATGAATTGTATCTGCGGGATATACAAATCTTACTCTTTAAAATATAAGTAAGCAGATGTAATAATTTAGTTATTGCAGTATACTTGTGCCCACCTAGCACAATTTTATATTATTGCTCAATAAAAGCTGGAATTTTTCAATGAAATTTCATGTTTTGCTTAAGTTTATTCACCAGCTCTTATTACTGAATTCAGTATAGCCAGACTGTACTTAAACAGTGAAATTACAGAATAATAATTATGTAATTACATAATTACAATACTTGAGGCAACATTACTTTGATCTTCAGAGGTGGGGGGAACTCTTCAAGGTACACTGTTTAAGTAACAGTTTTTATGATTAACATTAATCTCACAAGCTTTGGAATTCTGATTTAATTGGAACTTCAAGTTCCATGAAGGTGATGATGGTGACCTGGTGACCCATACGCTCAGAGTTTCTTGTGAGAGTAACACTTTCGTGCAGCAAGTACTCACCAGGAGGGCAGGCACCGCAGAGTGAAGCAGTGCCTGTGTTCTAGGAGCCTACTGTCCAGTTCGGGTGCAGAGGGAAGTCACAGAATGGTGTGGCACACTGCAAAGGAACAGAGCCACACAGCATGGGGAAGATCACCCGATTCTGTCCTGAAAGGCAGGGAAAGCTTCCTGGAAGAAACTACATTGAATTTGAGATCTAAAAAAAAGCTGAGTAGGAATCAGGTGAAATAAGAGCAGAGGCATGATCATGTTTGTATGTGAGAATCATCTCCTGTGAGAGATCAGCTAAACAGGGCATAGTGGTGTCAGAGGGGATGGACGCCATGTGGGTCTTTTGATCTATCCATGAACTCAGTGCAGGAAGGGGTGTGATACTTTTTCCTCACAGTAAATAATTCTCAAGATATATTTTAAGGCAGCCTTACCTGAAGTGCCTAGCATCTGACTACAGATAAGGTGGAGTTTTTAAAAAAATTGTTTTGGGAGAGAAGAATGTCAATTTGCTGTTCCACTTCCTTAATACATTCACTGGTTGCTTCTGGTATGTGCCCTGACCAGAGATCAAACCCACAGCCTTGGCTTATTGGGTCAGTGCTCTAACCAACTGAGCTACTGGGCCAGGGCTGAATAAAGATAAGGTCTTTTAATGATGATCTCAAATGTTTTATACTTAACTTCATTTTAAGGTGCATTGTAACCATTACAAAACATAGTTTTATTTTTGATAGAGAGAGTCAGGTGGGCTTTGGCTGGTGAGGCTCAGCGGACTGAGTGCCGGCCTGTGAACAGAAAGGTTGCCAGTTCAGTTCCCAGTCAGGGCACAGTGCTGGGTTGCGGGGCAGGTCCCCAGGTGGGGGAGCAAGAGAGGCAGCTGATCAGTGTTCCCCTCTCTTTGTCCCCCACTTCTCCTCTCTAAAGATAGATAAAATCTTTTTTTTAAGAATACTATAATTATGTGCTTGCTTCAGCAGCACAAAGACTAAAAAATAATAATTCTTATTTGTCACTAAAACGACAAAGAGTATGACTACGTTTACTAAAAAAACTACCAAATCCATGTTGTAATCTGATTACATTTCCAAACTAAGTCAAAGATAAAAGATAACTTTAGTTACTTTATATATAATATTACTATGAAAATGGACGCTTTATGTTTGTAGTCATATAAACCTAAATTTAAATCTCTTATAAAAGGGAAATTACCCACTAATAATTTATGTGAAAAAATGTAAAGGTTTTCTCTTTACCCAAATGTTTTTAGTCCCAAGTCATATTCATTATTAGAGGGGAAAAAATGGATTTTTCTGCTGTTAGAACTAATGCGGTCTTCAGCATGTGATCTGCTGTCATTTTTCTGTCTTGAAAAGAAGGGAACTTTGTGCAAGGGACTAAACAGTATAGCTCTTTCTCTATATATATTACCATTGTTTAGAGCAACCCTAAGCTAGAGTTTCTTGTGTATTACAAGCTTAGATTCTTTAAATTGATAGTAAAAGTCATTTGCATTATATAACCAATGAAAATTTTGACTTTGGAGTGAAAGACAGAAATTACTTTATGGAAGAATTATGTAAGTGATTTGCTTAGACTGCTTTAACATAGTATTTATTATTGTAAGATAATTTCATATAAAGTGTAATTAGAATAGAAAAGTAACTGGCTTATTTGTAGCAGAAAAAATTTTTTCCTCTTATTTCATTTTATTATGAGTGCTAAATAAAAGATTTTATTTACTCTTTCATTCCAAACAGTTTCAGAAATTAAAACATCTCTTGAATAAACTTTGCCACCTCCACCTTCCCATCACAACTCATTTCTGTGTATTTTTTAATTCCCACAGCTCGAAAAACAAAGAAGAAGATCAAAGGGATTCAGCAAGCTGCTGCAGGGGTCGCACAAGAGACTCCTGAAAACCCTGCTAACAAAACAGTAGTCCCTGCAGCGTTGCCACAAGTCACCCCCACCCTGATCTCGTTGTTGGAGGTCATCGAACCCGAGGTGCTGTTTGCAGGGTACGACAGCTCTCTTCCGGATTCCTCCTGGCGGATCATGACCACACTCAACATGCTAGGTGGACGGCAGGTGATTGCAGCGGTGAAATGGGCAAAGGCATTACCAGGTAAGATGCAAACCTTTGTACTTTCCTTTTTTTTTTAAGATTTTATTTATTTATCTTTAGAGGGGAAGGGAAGGAGAGAGGAAGAGAAATATCAATGTATGGTTGCCTCTCACGTGTCCCCTGCCGGGAACTGGCCTGCAACCCAGGCATGTGCCCTGACTGGGAATAGAACCGTGATCGTCTGGTTCACAGGCCCGCATTCAATCCACTGAGCTACACCAGCCAGGGCGTACTTTCCATTTTTGTACCTTATGTTGTGATCAGTATGATATGTCTAGTAGCATCCGTCCCCATACAGAGGTGTTAAGATATTGACTCTTCCCTGTGCTGCACATCACATCCCCGTGACTTACTCATTTTGTAACTGCAAGTTTGTACATCTTACTCTTCACCTTTCCCATCCATCCCCGCTCCCCTCTGGCAACCACCAGTCTGTCCTCTGTTTCTGTGAGTCTGTTTCTTAGACAAAAACAGTCTGGCTTTCCACCATCTGGTCCCAGGATATTTCTCAGACTCTGTTATGGGAATGTGGAGAGTCTGCAATACAAGTTTTATACTGCCCTCTGCTTTTCACATTATTACTCAGAGGGTAGTAGTTTCTGATGGGACCGTGTAACATCACAAATGGAGTCACAGTTCCTCAGAATTCCCTTTACACTTAAGTAGGGGGAAAAAATGTAAAATACTTCTTAGAATTCAGGTTGTTTCTTTTTAGTGTATCATTTTTTAAAAATCAGATTATTTATAAAATTGGCAAAAATCAGGGGTAGTGACACTGTCAGAACATACTAACATAGGCTATTTTAACTCTTCCCTGCCTTTACAGTTGGAAGGGATTCGACAGCTGATGCTCACACAAAGAGACACGGAACAAGTGTGACATGACCCCCTGGCATCCCTAGGGTGTCAAGGGGGAAAGTGGCATAAATATCAGGGGGAGGTTTTTAATTTAATGTCCCAAGCCAGGACTCTTGGCTTGCCTCTTTACTAATTAGCTTATATTTCCTTAAGAGTAGCCAGTTTTTGTCACCTTTTGCCTACTCAAGTTTTTGAACATCGGATGCTGTTGAAAAGCACCGAGGGCCCTGACTCAGGTGATGGGAGCGTTGCTCCACACACCAGAGGGAGTGGGCTCGGTCCCCCAGTCAGGGCACACACACAGCTTCCGGGGTCCGTCCCTGCTCAGGGCGTGCACAGGAGGCCAGTGGATCGAAGCTTCTCTCTCCCGTCGCTGTTTCTTTCTGTAAAATCTGAAGAACAAATCCTCGGGTGAGATTTTTAAAAACATTTAAAAAGCACCGAGGGCTTTGATCATTAGCATGTCACATGACCAAGGAAAAGCGAGCCCCCCTGGAGCTTCATCTCCTCTGTTAGTGGTCTCCCAAAATAAGGCTGACTCCTGGCTGGGCCTTTGGCCGTGTCCAGAGAGATGGGTCTTTTCTTCAGCAACTGCAGTTTTTCCTCAAGCCTTTGTTTCTCTTGCTTCAGGATTCAGGAACTTACACCTGGATGACCAGATGACCTTGCTGCAGTATTCATGGATGTTTCTCATGTCATTTGCCCTGGGATGGAGATCATACAAACAAACACATGGGAACATGCTGTGTTTTGCTCCTGATTTTATTATTAACGAGTAAGTCATTTTCCCTGTATTCATAGGGTATTTTAACCAGCTCATTGTGGTCATTCAGGACTGAATCAAATGCCACCAGGTATAACATGTAGTAGACCTAACATGTAGTAGACATGTGGCAACACTGTGTCCCAGGGCGTACTTAAGGATGTTATTTACATAGCACCTCTGGGTTAGTAAAGTCTATAGCAGGTAAAATGGAGTCTTACGGTGCATTTTAATTCCATAACCCGATCCCAGTAAGAAACAGTGTGTTGGTCCTGCTTTTGGCAGAGACAGTTACAGACCAGGACATGTAGGCTGGGGGTAGAGAAGGGGCAGTAGAGGTCCAGAGAGAAGAGGGGTCTCTCTGCGTGGCAAGGGTCACTCAGTGCTCATTGCTTGGGAAGAATATGGGAATAAGAATGTTCTTTTTAATTGGGAGAGAACCAACCAAGCTTCAAGATTTTATAAATCAGCTGTTCTCTCTCTGGTCTTCCAGGCCTGTGCTTCCATCTGTGAAGTATTTCAGGTGTCTTGTCCCCCGTAGCTCTGTGCACTGCTCTCCTAAATGGTTTTCTGCCTCCAGTGTCGTCACCATCACGCGGACTAATGTTTTCTCCCCTAAGCAAAGTGTGCGCCCACCACAGGTACCCCCAGCACGTGAATGTGCACAGCCTCCCGCACAGACCACCTGTGCACTCACTGTGGTTTCTGGCTTCCTTCTCCCACTGTTCTCCATTCACACACTCCTTGTCCCCACTCCCATGAGCTGTCGTCCAAACACCCCCTCAGTTCATGGTGCCCACGTCACCGTGTAAGACCTGTCCACTTTCCACCTTGTTGTACTACCCACCGCTCACCTCCTGCATTAGAACACAAACAGGCAGAATAAAATGTGGAGGGGAATTTACATGGGGAACAAAAAGGATATTTCTTTAATTGTGAGCTCTGTGTACTTAATGTTGACAAATGTTCAAAAAAGTTAATGAATTCTTAAACCACGTTATTAGAGCAGTCCCACTGCACCCCCTCTGCATGAGTCACACGTCATTAGTGGTCTGTTTTCAGGACTGGATGCCATATGAAAACATTGAAAACTTTAAATATGTCCAGAGTGGCAAGGAGTTTGCACATTAACCGGAGGTGATGAACAGGACATACTTGGAGGAAAGGGGAGAGGAGGCATCAAACGACAAGGGCGGCTGGCAGGGCGTTTGGAGGAGGCGAAGCAGACGCACTGTAGTGTCTCTGGGGGGCCGTCTTGGTGATGTGGGAAGCTTGCATGATTGTGTTCTAGTGGAGACTAGATGGTACCAGCTCCAGATATTTTAAAGGAAATTCTTAGGCATTGCACAAGTAGTGGCTAATTCTAGAGTCAGGACACAGTTTCTTATGCTACTACTACTAGGTAATTCCAAGACCACGTATCTGGCAGGATAGATAGGAACTACCTGAAGCAGAAAGCTCAGGTTTTCCCCTCTATTAGGATAGCTGCATGCAAAACTAGTGTAAAACACGGGACTGAACTATTGAGTTAAACTTAGTGTTGCTTCTCTATTGGTAGCACTTATTTCCCAGCACTGTGTTCACTCTGTTATATGAGTACCTACCAAGTGCCTGACACTACATTAGAAGCTTGAGCTATAATAGTGAATACAATAGATGATGGCCCTGCTAACATCCTGATGGGGGAAAAGGCACATGGTCAAAATTACTTGGGAGAGCCATGATATACTAGTGTGACAAAGGGGAGGAGAGAGAGGTGTATGCTATTAGATTTTGGGAACATACAAGACCTCTCTGAATAGCTGAGCACTAAATAGGACTGGTTCTTTGGAAGGGACGGCATTCCAGGCAGAAGAAATGAGGGCAAAGGCTAGAAAGAACTGTGGCGTGTGTGAGGAACTGAGAGAAAGCCACAGAGGGCATTGTGTGAGCTTAGAGAAGTGGGCAGAGACGGAGTCAAACAGAATGTGTAGGTCACAAAATAGAGTGTAGATTTTATTCTAAGAGCCAAGAAGCCTGGGAAGGTTTCCGAGAGAGGGTGACATGATGGAAGAGAGTGGATTAAAGGGGAATAACAAATATTCATCACACCCCTAATGTGTGTTGCCTGGTACTATAGCAGAGAACAAGATAGGCAAGGCTTCGCACCTTTATTGCTTCCATTCCAGCTGGACAGACACAGATAATCACCAAATCAGTAAAATTTCAGATTGAGATAAAGGTTTTACTGGACAGAGCTTTGTGTCTGTTGGGGTGGCTAATGGCCTCTGGGAGGAGGTGTCATTTGACCTGAGACTTGAAGGAGAAGGGCATGTCCCGCCCCTCAGCTGACAGGCACTGTCTCATGCTCAGCCAGGGCAGGTCTCCATATGGACCCTGAGGGGTGCCTGTGTCCTGGGGCAGGGCTCCTTGACTGACTGTTGCCAAAAAGAGGACTGTTCAAATCAGGGGCATCACAGTTTAACAAGCTTTGTTGGCTCAAATTTTAAATTAACTGATAAATTTATATGGCGTATATGTAAACTTGAAGACATTTAAAATCTGTAAGTACTTGTTTGTTTCAGAATCCAACCATACTTACTTATTGTCTCTATCTAAAAAAGCAATTTTAAGTCATTTAATTGGAATTTTAAAAACTGAGGGGAGCTTTCTATGATACGCCAGTTCATCCTTCTGTTATAAAATTAACCTAATTCAGGCCTTTTGTTTTGGCAACACATTGAGATTTAAACAGTCACAGCACGGCTTGATCACGCCATATGCCTTCCTTACCTGAAGGTGGGACTCACAGAACTGTTTTCTCAGTGCTCAGCTCCACTGCTGGGTAAATGGCTTAGACAAACAGCAGTTTGGAAAAGGCCATTCTGACCTCCTCCTTTCTGTGTGTGCGGAGGGAAGGCCTGCTCCCTTTCTTCCAGCTCACTGGGTGTCAGCACCAACCTGGCGTCCGCGGCAGGCAGAGCTGGGTGTCGGCAAGTGTGAAGCCAAGTCTGACCCTCTGTGTAGTCAGCAAAACAGTTTCTTATCATTGTCCTTAGGTCAGAAAAATTGTAGAAAAACTTTTTTGAATGCCAACTAGAATGATTTTTTTTTTTTTTACTCTACTACATTGTAACTTTGTGAAAACTACCACAGATTAGAAACTGAAAGAACCTCCCAGGAAAGGAATGCTGAGCCCCTGTTCGGCCCTGGGGGAGCGCCTCCTAGTGAAAGCAGATTCCAGTGTGAAGAGCCTCAGAGCTCCTGTCACCACTGTGGCCGGAGGCCACTCGTGTCTGATCCAGGTTATCGTGTAAAGAAGTAAACTACATCTTCAGTTGGGAATAATACTAACTTTTTTTCTGTTAAGCCCAAGATCACTTTCTGTCAAAAACTTTAAAAGAACCAAACAGATATTGAAATAGTTTTAAAAACTATGAACTGGACCCAGATTCAGACTCTTGGTGTCATTTTAAAAGTTAGGAAACTTTAGAGATCTATTTGAAAATCATAGTTGTGATAACGACTGTTAAGATTCCCAACTGGGCATGCATGTAGCACCTTTGGTTAGGAGAGTATTCCATCACACAGTGTGTGCCAGAGGCAGGCTGAAGAACCAGAAAGCCTGGCGTCCTCACACGTGGCTCTGCATAACTGCGAACATTACGTCTTCAGAACGGGATGCCGTGCAGAAAAGTACCTTTTGATTTTCAGAAGGGTGGGACCTAAAACTGTTAGCTAATTGGCCATATTCAAATGCTACCATAAAACCTGGATTTAAATGAGCATGTGGTAATAAATTCTGTAGGAATAATAAATTCTAAACACTCAAGTAAATAATACATGGCATGCATGATAGAAAAATAATTTCTCCAATGTAAAATTAGGTTGTTCAGTAGTTTCTTTATATGCTCAACACCCAGGAACAAGTTTAAGGAAAAATTTTAAAAATTCCTGACCTATAAGGAATTAGCATTAACAGTATTGTACGGGGCTGGCCAAAAAGTTCATATGTTCTTTTCCATAAAATGAAAAAACACATTTTTCACTTTCACTAATAACTTTATTGATTTGGATATTTTGAGTATGTCGGCTATTTCCCACATAGTATACTGTTGATTATTCTTAATTAATGTCTCAATTTGATTGTTACCGACTTCAACTGGTTTACCTGACCGTGGAGCATCGTTCAGCAAGAAATCTCCAGCATGAAACTTCACAAACCACTTTGGACACATTCAGTCAGTCACAGCACCTTCTCCATACACTGCACAAATCTTTGCATTTCAATTGCGTTTCTACATTTCTTGAAATAATAAATCATAGTACACCAAAAATGTTGCATATTTTCTTCCATCTTTAATATTAAAATGGCTGCCCCAAAATTCACCAATTTTGATGTTTTTTTAAATGCACACTGATGTAACTGACAGCTGTCACAATACAGTCTAACAAAATCATTTCAAATGAAGTTAAAGAAAACTAAGCACTACTAGAACCGTATTACGGAAAAAGTAACAGACTTTTTGGCCACTCCAATAACAGTCAGGTTTTCCTTTATGGGTTCATAGTTTTATAAAATAATGACTAAAAATGTGTACATTTTTTAAACAAGTGCTATTTATTTCTAATTCAAACACTGATATTTGTATTTCACAGGGAGAGGATGGCTCTACCCTTCCTGTTTGATCAATGTAAACATATGCTGTTTGTTGCCACCGAGTTACAGAGGCTTCAGGTATCTTACGAAGAGTTTCTCTGTATGAAGACCTTGCTGCTTCTCTCATCAGGTTTGTGGAACACCTCTTCACTTCTAAAACTCACTTTCAAATGTGTCAGAAGCATGAAATATAGAAGTCTAGAAACAAAGGTTTATTTGTATACATAGCCTTAATACTTATACCAAGTCTGCTATTTTCTGCTAGCCAGACTGTCATAAATATAAAATTTTAGAAGGGCACAGCCCCTGATGCCTCAATCAGCATGGCCCATCGGCACCCTGGAGAGATGCAGAGGGATGTGAGCTGCACGGGGGTCTCAGCTGACTGGCTGTGCGTCAGCTTCCTCCTTCCTGTGACCTTTGACAGCACCTCTCTAGGAGGGAAACTCGTTCCTCTAGTACATTATTTACTGTGTCAAATTTTTACTTATACAGTGAGTGCTACCATGTATAAGACAGTGCAGGGGGAAAAAAGATACACCCTACAAAACGGTGTTCTTGATTAACATTAGAGGCTTGGTTGGTGCAGCCCTGGGCCTGGACTGCCGGGAAGAGGTAACCTAGCTAGAAACCAGCAACAGGGATCTGTTACTCTGGAAAGGTCAGTGAGTACTCTCAGCTAGGTAGCAGAGGAATGCTCTGTAGTATCTTGTCTCTATGAGTAAAATTAGGGCATTTTCAACAATAAGAAGGTGAACCAGTTGGTTATAAACTTTAGGCCATTCTATTAAAAATTATGTATCAGGTTAGTGTTTATAAAATACTGAGTTTTGATGGCTGAATACCTTTTTAAAATAAGTATATTTAAAATATGAAAAAAGTCTTTATTCCAATAGTAAATGTGTTTTCATTATAAAAATGTTACATAACTTTAAGCTATGGATATTGCACATGACTAAGCTTTTATAATGCTTTCATATTATTTGTTCTACAAAAAGTCATTTGATGCTCATGGATTTAAGGAGTCTTAATACTCAAGGCTAGAAAACTTTTCACAGCCCATTAAAAAAGCTAAAGGTAAAGATCATTACTAGAGACTCAATTTTAAGGTTACCCACAGCAGTGCACTTGAAGTTAGCTCAGTGTTATCTGAGTAAACAAAGTTCTGATCATGATTTTAACATAATATCCGAGTATAAGCCAGGACCAAGATACTAACCAGTCTTATTTGTAAAAAATTGTGGTTAAAATTTTATATATACCTGACTTAAACTGTAGTTAAGAAAAAATAAACTGAACTAGTACATATCACTGGTTCTTAAAAAAAAAAGAATAGACTCATAAGGATGAAAATACTTGCCCTAAGATGTAATTAGACTTCTGCTCTGATGGAATGCCAGAACAGTGCCCTCGCCTCCCACCAAAGATGCTGGACTGCACACTGAGTGCAGTTGGGAACCCACAGAGGTGAGAAGCACTCTGTAGCCAGCTCTCAGAGGGCATCTGCAGGTATGGCACTGTAGTTAACAACTTTAAAAACAGGGCTGGAAATATCATTGAAATGGAAAAACAATGGATGGCCATAACAACAGATCAGACACACATGAACAGACATTTAAACTGAAGTTCAAATTATAAACCTAAAGAAATTAGCCAGAACAAAATTGTTTAAATGAATGCATGTATGTACATGTATTTATATATGTGTTATGTGTATGTGTAAATGAACAAGAGGAAAAGAGGCATGTTTGAGGGAGGAGGTCTAAAACTGTTTCATAACTCACCTCCATGTCATAATGAACATAGAAAGGGCATTTTACAGTGGAGCACACGGAGGTCGACGAGTGAGGGCACTGGCAGCCAGCAGAGCAAATCATTACTCTAACCCATAGGTGACCCATGCACAGGGCACCGGCTGGAAAAACTCTGGCCTCACATAAGCACCAGAGACTTAAAATGGAAGGTGAAGGAGATGGGAAAAGACAGCACACAAAGAGGTAATGGCTGAAAACCATTCAAATTTCTGAAAAGACACCAACCCTCTATCCAGGCAGTGCGGTGAATTCCACGTAGTGTTATGTATTTGACAAAATCCAACTGGTTCAACAGCAAGGTCGACAAGGAGATCCCTGAACAGGCAGAGAAAAAAATGTCTTCAAGGGAGAAGCAATTGAAGTGAACAGCAGCAACTGAAGAAAAAAGAATGTTGTTTTCAAAATGCTAAGGAAAGAAAATGAAGGTGGGCTTCAGTTTCAGCTCTGACAAGTAGTAAACAGCTTGGAAATTATCACCTAACCTCACAATAAGAAAAACCTGATGAAGCTGAAAATCAGTGGCTTTTCTTAAGTCCATCAGAGGGTCGAGATTACAAGGCAAATCACCACCTCAAAATCTGTAGAGCAGGCAAATACAGAGAAAGCACAGCTCAAGATCAACTTCCAGGGAACAGAAGCTACTAAAGTCAGGGACTGGTAGGAAAACTTGTGGTAGTTTTGATGAATTCTGAAGACCCAGTCAGGAGTAGCTGGAGAGTTAACTCCTGGGACTCAGTCTTGATAGGGGGCTAACTTGGGGTTTACCTCCTGAATCCCAGGTTCCCATGGTGAAGACCTCGGAATGGTCCTGTCATGTTTCTACCCACTAAGGGAAACTGCTGTGACAAAGCTGTATCTGATTTGGGAGAAGGGGCAAGTTCCTAATTTCAGCCCCTCTCTATCGTGCAGGGGTGTCCAACCTGCAGCGCCCAGGACGGCTGTGAATGTGGCCCAACACAAACTCGTAAATTTACTTAATATATTATGAGATTTTTTTGTGTGATTATGTTGCAATGTATTTCATGTGTGGCTCAGGGATGCCAAAAGGTTGGACACCCCTGAAAGGGGAGAGAGAAAAGGTTCAGAAACACTTCTTCAGGACCCAGCCCAGAGGCCAGGCCTACTAAAACAGATCAGATCACAAAGGTGTAAAACATTCCACATCCTCAACACCTTACCACCACGCCACAGACTTGTAGTAATGATAATGGAGCTACAATGGAGGAAGCTGCAGAACACAGATATGTAAGAAGGAACGACAGCAGCGGGGGGGGGGGAATAAAGAGGAGACTAGACCCTCTTAACACCTGCACCAGACCTTTAACATAGCCTGGCCCTTCACCAGATTAACAGAAGACTTACACTATAGTCTACTTTAGTTCTGACAGAAAATTTCCAGCTTTTTGCAAAAAACTGCAAGGTATGCTAAAATGAAAGAAAAAAACAGTCTGAAAAAACAAACATACATTAGAACAAGATGTAGCTGTGGCACAGATATAATGATCAGAAAGGGAATTTGAAATACTTACGATTACTATGTTAAGGACTCTAGTGGGAAAAGTAAACAACATGTAAGAACACATGGTAATGTAAGCAGTGAGGTGGACATTTTATAGACTCCAAAGGAAATGCTGGAAATTAAAAATGCTGTACTGTGAGGAACTAGTATAAAGGACACATGGACAACTAAGGGGGGTGGAAATGGGAGGGAGGTGGGGAGCACGGGGGGGTGGGCTGGGATGGGAGTAAAAGACAGAAAACTGTACTTGAACAATAATTAAACTTAAAAACGCTGTAATGTGGAAATGAAGAATGCTATTATTGGGCTCATCAGAAGACTGGACACACCAAGGAGAGAATCACTGAGTTGAAGACAGTTAATAGAAACTTACCAAACTCAGATGTAGAGAGAAAAAAGAATGAAGATAAAAAATGGAACGGAATATTTAAGAATAATGGGGACAATTACAAAAGGTGTAACAGACAAGTAATGGGAAAATCAGAAGTAAAAGAAAGGAATGGAAGAAATATTTTAGTAATAATGGCTAATAAGTGTCCAAGATTTATGACAGAAACCAAAGCATACATCCAGGAAACTCAAAAGCACCAACAAAGAAAAATGCCAAAAAAAATCTACACCTAGGCATATTTTACTCTAAGTACAGAAAAGCAAGAATAAAGGCAGGAATCATGCAGGTAGCCAGGGGTGGGGAGACAGCTTACCTGTGGAGGAACAAAGAAATACAACAATATTCTCATCAGAAACCATGCAAGCAGGAGAGTGAAGTAGTGAAGTGAAATATTTAGTACTGAAAGAAAAAAATCACCAATTTAGGATTCTGTATCCAGTGAAGTTATCCTTCAAAAGTGGAGGCAAAATACCTCAGACAAGCAAAAACTTTAGAGAATTGGTCTCTAGTAGACCTGCCTTTCATAAAGAGTTAGAAGAAGTTCTTTAGAGGAAAGAAAAATGATACAGGTCAGAAACAAGGATCTACATAAAGAAAGGAAGAGTATTAGACAAGGAATAGACAGAAATAAGCTTTTATTTTTCTTTTTAATTGATGTAACAGGTAACTGTTTAAAGTAATAAAAGCAACAAGGTACTGGATGATGGTAACATATGGATGAGGTGGATGAATGACAGCAGTGTTGAAAGGAATGGCGGCGGGGGGGGGGGGGAGACTGGGACTAGGCTGTGCGGTACCTGCACTACCTGTAGGAATATTTTGAAAGAGGATGCAGACTGCAAACCTGTACGACACAGGTTCGAGCTGCTTGGGTCCATTTATATGCAGATTTTTTTAACAAGTACAATTGGTCCTTTGTATTCACAGATTTTGTATCCTCAAATCTAACCAAATGCAGATCAAAAAGTATTTTCACATTCCCAACCACAGTTGATTGAATCCACAGATACAAAGGGACACCTGTAGAGTCAGAAGTTACAAGTGGATTTTCAGCTGCACCCCTCCCCCACCATTATTTAAGGTCCACTGTAGTTGTGAATGTATATGCGAACTCTAGGGCAACCACTAGAAACAATTTAAAAAGCAGTAATATGTAATTCATATACTGAGACATGCTCAATGAAAACTAGAAAAGGCAGAAAGAAAAGATTTAAGAAGAAACAAAGAGCAAATGCAGCGAGCAGATAACAGTTACAAACATGGTGGATACTGATCCAAATATATCAAACAATTGCTTTAAATTTTAATGGTCTAAATATACTGTTGTTTTTTTTTTTATGAAGGCTAAAAGAAAGTTTGCCACCAGAAAGCCTTACTGAAGTAATATTAAAAGATGGATCAAGCCC